CAAACCGAATCAAGCGGCGTTCTGAGTTGTTCCGACTTCATATGAGTCAAACCGAATCAAGCGGCGTTATGAGTTGTTCCGACTTCAACTCTGATTCGAATCATCCCGACTTCAAGCCGTTCGAGCGATATGAGTTCAAGCGATATGAGTTAACCGTATGGGCGATACAGTGCGTCGTCGTTCTTGCGTGTTTATTTATTTTACGGAGCGCTGAGAGCGATTTTGTACGTGAAATATCAATACCCAATTTTGATAATAATTAAGGTTTTAGATTTTAAATGTTATCAGAATAAACCACTCAAAATTATGAAACGCGTTTCGGGAATCTTTCAATATAATTCTCTTTTGAAACAGTTACTAAAACACCAGAAAGTCAGTAAATAATGTTAACTTCTGAATTCACATGAATGAAATTAACTTTCAGCTCTCAGTTTAGATGCGATCCTTTACTGATTACATAGTAAAATAAACAATCGACCCATGATTCCAAATATTATTTATATGCTTTAGTGATGCACAATTGTTTGGTAATCTATTATTGTAAATTAATTTGAAGATATGTTTCAGCCCTCCTCAAAATTATATCATTTTTAATCATTTTCAGAATATACTTTTTGATAGTAATTTATGTTTTCAATTTCTACTTTGTCGGTATATTGGTTAAACTGACAATTTTGATCATAAATTTGGATCACTTTTACTAAATTAATACATCCATGATTTTTTTGTCCATATATATACTTGATTCGAGTTGATTCGAATCATGATTCGAATCAGGTTTTTTTCTGATTCGAATCATTCAAATCAGGAATTTTTCGAGTCGGCACATCACTAATATATATATATATATATATATATATATATATATATATTTTCTAAATAATAAGATATATTTTAGAGTTATAAATATTACTACTATACGGAAATATTTATTATTCATGCGTTAACAAATGCATTCAAATATAATAACAAATTTATATCTCCAATATGGGAGATGACAAATGTAAATGCAAATACTCCTACGGTTTGGAGCAGATATTCATATTGAATTGTGAAACATATTTATATCGATTGTATATGTAGGTAGTTGACTAGGTGTAGGCAGCATTTTGCCTTAAGGCAAAAAGTATAAACTTTTCGATATATGTAAACAATTGAGGTTAAAACGTTGAGGTTTAGAATCATTTGAAATTGTGAGAATGAAATCTAGCGTAGGAGGGCGGTCGCAAATTCAAATTTGTCCTTGAGTAATTATACTGTCCAAAATAAACATTATATCGCTACACATAACTCATCAAACAAGCACCTATCGGACTATTCAAGTATTAAATTCCCTTAGAGTATGTTATTGTAATCGTCCAAAAATCTAATGTGAATTTTTTTGCATACCTTCATGGATACAATTTTCGTCTACGTTTTCGAGCACATGGATCGTTTTCTATGATAGATAGGAAATATGCTGATTAGTTTTTGGCAAAGGCAGGTTCAGCCGTTTCGGAGATACAGAGCTAAATGTTGTAAAAAATAAGAGTTTTTCAGGAAACTAAGCATGCGATTTGAATGATACAAAAATTTCTGTTCGTGTTGACGAAGCTATTACTTTTGAAAAAAAGATATATATATATATATATATATATATATATATATATATGTAAATATATATATATATATATATATATATTTCGTTTTTTTAATTTTTTTATTTTTTAAATAATTTTGACTTTGCAATTCAGTTTGTGATTCATTTTAAATCCGATTGAATAAGTTCTATTTATTTACTATTCATGTAAACACACACACAATATATATATATATATATATATATATATATAAAATGTTGTTGTTCAATTCATGGGCTCTTATATTTTGTCTAAATACGAATAATAAAAGTTACAGTATTTGAAAACATTTCATATTCCTTCAATATTTCATTACGGTGCGGGAAGTTCCAGCAATTTGCCTTAAGGCACGGTGCCATACACCGTAAAGTTTTGAAACGTAAATATATTTAAAAAATTTCCATTTTCGATAATTATCTATTATTATAACTTACGCTACGGGAAGTAAATAAATAAATTATAATAAGAATCATGTGTTCGATACTGATATACGTAAATAAAATAATATATATGGCATATATATATATATATATATATACATATATAATATATATATATCATATATAATATATATATATATATATATATATATATATATATCGAATTAAAAAAAAAATAAAGAAAAAAAAAAGAATATATATATAATATATATATATTATATAATATATACGTCAATAACATTTCCCGAACAATTATTCCTATTGGAGTTTGAAACATTTTGATATCGATCGGAAAAATAACTGGGAAAAAAAACTTGATTCTATATAAAGCCGCAATCTATTTTATGAACTTCATAAATTGCACTGATATTAATAACATTAAGAGCACGATAACAATATATTGTACACATACATAACAATGTATTGTAATATATTTTTATTGTGTGTATATTGTAACGTGAATGAGTTTCTTCATACTTTCGAAACTGGATTTTCGGTGAAAGCACGTACTGTGATTTGAAAGTCGCTCTTCAAAGAGTCGTCTGTCGGTCGTGCAACAACAAAAAAGCTGATTTCGTTACCTCAAAGGGATAATGGTGTCGCGTTGAGGTCGTAAGCCGGACCGGCCGAGCGCCGGTACCGATATCTCTATATGAATGGTTACGGGTTTCGAATCGAATAATTCTTCTGTGATATAGATATGATACTGGTATAATTCGAGAGATGATTATTGAAATAGCAAAAGCTTTTTCGTCGAAACTGAAATGTTACTGGATATGTAAACTGAAATGTTACTGGGCATGTAGGCCCAAAGCAATAGCAACAATTATCATATGTATATATATATATATATATAATATATATATATAAACAGTTACTTATATACCACATATTCTTTAATGTTTTATTTGAATTGCATTTAATTTTAGAAATTACAAAAAACACCAACTATCTCTTACAAAACTTGACACAGTTTTTTGTATTTCCAGAAGTTAAATGTAATTTAAACTAGTGGGGTGGGTGGCATCGTGCCTTAAAGCAAATTGCTGGAACTTCCCGTAACGTAACGAAATGTTTGAGGAATATTGAATGTTTTCAAATAAATTACAATAACATACCCTACGGGAAGTTAAATAAATATTAAAGAATGTGTTAGTATATAATTAACTGTTTTGACATTACGCTGAAGATGAGACCATTACCATGGTCTCGAAACGTCTGTAATTACCACATAAAGTGTTTGTTACAAATCTGAGTGTTGTATTGTTCACATTTAACATTTAATATTCGTTCCACTCATATTACAAAATTCTATATATACAAGGTGTCCCAGGTTGTGTCACATTAACCTCCTAAAAAATGAGAAGAAAAAATATTTCAATTTTTTTGGAAATTATGAGATTTTGAGTACAACCTAGAGCTTTGGTCGAATTATGTGGTTATTTTTAATAACTTTGGTTAATTATTGTGGTTAATTTTTAATAACTTTGTTCATTCAAACTCTGAAAATATTTCTAAAACTACAATAAGACAATAATAATATTGCCTCAGTTTTTAAGAATTAAGACTTTCTGTTGAATTGTGAATTTAAATTTTTTAAAATCGGTCGACTATTGAAAGACATTTAAAAAAATATTACTAAAGTGTGTTGGCAAGTTTCATCAAAAGTCAGTGTTGTAAAATGGTAAAATTCTAGATAATTTGTTTATTGAACATTTTTCAGTAAAAAAATTAAAACATAAAAATGACATGTACATTTTGATCGCACACATATATGACAAAGATATTGTGATAACACATATAGACAAATATTTGTGTCTAGCACGTCAAGAATTTGAATTAATTGCGAGTAAAATGTACTAGCAAAAAACATGTCATTTATAGAGTAAAATAAAGTTATATAAAGTTTTTAAGTGTTCTACCATTATACAATTCTGCATAATTGCGTCAATTTTTTATGAAACTTGCCAACACACTTAAGTACATTTTTTAAAGGAGGGCTTCTCAAAGTCGACCAATTTTAAACATTTTAAATACATAGATAGGTAGTCCTAGAAATGATATTCACGGTTCTAAAGTTTAAATGAACGAAATCAGTAAAAGTTATACACAATAATCAAAAAATGGTCCTATTTCATCAAAGATCTAGGTTTCACTTAAAAGCTCATAATTTCCAAACTACGTGAGATAATTTTTTTTCCATTTTTTTCAGGAGAGTTAAGGTCAATACTATTACCCCGTTTTGGCTTGACATCAAGGTCTCAAACAGCCTGTATATATGTGTGTGTACAAATGTATAATTCAGAATTTGATGTTGACATATTAAGTTGACATATGTATTGACAGGGTTTGATAATCGGGCTATTTATGTTATATCAATCAAAAATATTCTAAATTAAGTTACGGCTATAGTCCAAACAATTCAGTAGAACTAAAGTCGAATTTTTGAAACTCAAAAATTTAGCAAAATTGTTTTAAGAACAAGTAAATAAACAAAAAGTACTCGCAATTTTTTATCCTAATATTAAACACATAATCAAAATAATCCATAGTATGAGGATATGGTAATGCACTAACAAACAAACAAACACAATAAAACAGTTTTTTTTATAAATATTATTCAGAATTGCACTATTTGGTAAATCATATATTTTCACTAAGATTAAGTAATAGACAAATGCAATGACCCTGGCACACTGTGTTAAATACACAACTGTTTTTTGAATTGTATTATGAAGTTGATTAAATAATAAAAATACGTGCCAAAGAAGTTCACGATTATTTTCAAGTTAAAATTAAAAAAAAATTGTAGCAAAAAAATATTTTTGAAAAACACACACACACACACACACACACATATATATATATATATATATATATATATATATATATATATATGAGTGTTCATGTATGCTGTTGAAATAAGATTAAATGATATTACCTTATGTTTTATTGAGTTTTTGTATCCACATCATCTGGATTTACCTGATTGAATTACTGAAATAAAGAAAAAAATATTTAAATTTAAATTATTTGTTTTCCTTAAGTAGTTATATTTATTCTATGCACATAATTCTATACTCTATAAACTATTACACAATATATAAATTGCGCATTCCATAAATTATTATTTTAAATCCTAATGGATAAAGCGCGTCCTATTTATAGTATGATTGATAATCTAATTTGTAGGAATGTTCTGAGTGTATGGAAAAATGCATGTAACTAATATATTACCTTATATTATTTGTGAACAAATAACGAACTATAATAAAAAAGCATAATAGCCTAGTGTTTCCTATTTCGGTACGCTATTCAAAGGAAGAAAAATTGATTTGGCGTCTACGGTATTTTACGGTGGAGCGATCTGATACTTTGACAACTCAAACAAATTGGCTATAATGTTGTATTTATAGATATTTATAAATTGTACATTAATAATATAAAACTAATAATATCACTTATAATTAAACATCTACGATTAAATAGAGTGACGACAATATTGTAGTAAAAAATTAATGATTCTATATTTTTACATATAATTTCAACAAATTACATGCAAAGTTCAATAAATTTTTAATATAAATAAATAAAATATATAAAATAATAAAATAATATCTGCAGAAATTTTAACAAATAAAACTATTATTCTGCTACATGTAAATTTTTTATTTCACTAAAATTCTACAAATGTCATTATTAATTTAATTAGTTACTTATACAAACATGATAAAATAAATTTATTCACATTAACATAAAAATAAGTAAGTGATTGAAAATGTTTATTGAAATCCGAATAAAATTGTACAAAACAACTTTGGAATTTATTTCTTAAACTTTAAACAAATCCCATGAAATGTATTTACAAAATATAAACATATGTCTATTTTTATCAAAGCATAAAAATAGTTGCGTGAAATGCAATACCGTTAAATATGCAATGTATGTAATAATAGATATGTAATATAATTGAAAAAATATAAAAACAAGTATTTATTATTTAGAATATATACATATTAAATTCCGCTTATAGTTTTTTTATTCAAAAAATTTAAATTAAAAAACTTTCATATTAATATAGAAATAAGCACACTTTCATGTAACATCACTTCATAGAATAGAAAAAATGTAACAATTGTTTAATACTTTACATTATTTATTGAATACAATAGTATAAAATGAATTTCAAAATTTAAAGCATTGTTGACTGAATATAACTTTATTACTGTATAGTAGGTACACAAATAAATCATGTCAATAATTTAATACTTTTTAAAGTAATATAATTTAATTATTGACTAATGTATGGCATTTCTGATAATATTATTCAGTACTGATGTTATGTGACTCAGAAATGCAAGTACACATTTTTTACATGAGAATATTCGAGGCTCCGTTCTCATTTCAATGTAAAACCATTACAGGAATGCCTTTCATTTTGAATTTAATTTTGATGCAAACACTTTTGAAGTTTCAAAGCGACTCCTCTGTTACAGCTTATTAAAAATATTCGAAAAATCGTATTTTAAAGAGAAGTGAATAATGTTTCGCTCTCTTTTAAATGACAAATTATACAAAAGGAATAATTTTAAGCAAACAGAAGTAAATGAACAAAGAATAGCTTTAAATTTTTAATAAATTTGATCTTAATACATACATACAAACGTCAACATTTTTAAATAAGACAAACAAGTCAACATTTTCATATAAAACATATTAATATTATTTTAAGATGATTAATTATATTTATTGATTTTTTTTTCAAAATTAATCTACTTCAAGCTCAACATGAATAAACATAATTTCTTAAAATCCGGTAAGGAAAATAATTCTGTATCAAACAAAAAACTATCGAACAATGTTCACTAAAATTCCGATCCAATAAATCATTGTAAAAATATGTTTTTTTGCTATTTTTATAATAATTTACCTAATAAAAAGCTACATAATTTAATCAATGCGATGCAGTTCAAAATTAAATAACTGAATAAACAACAAATTTAAAAATTATATTATATTATATATATATATATATATATATATATATATATATATATAAATATATTGTTAAATGTAGTATACAAAAGTTTAGATCGACAATTATTGATGTCATAAATCATGTTTTAGTTGATTTTTTTGTTAATTTTATCATGATTGTACTCATCATTTCTTGAAATATAATTTTTACAGTTTAGGTGAATACAATTTATGTTGAAAATACTTATTATACACATTTTTCGCAAAAATCACACAATCCTGATATACACCATCAAAAGAATTCATCATTAGAGTTGGAATAACTGTTAATCTAATTTGTACAATAGCATGTTTAGATTTATTTAACTTTTTTATCTACTATTTTCTCATTGTTTACGCCCATAAAGGATTAGGTGGTCTTTTTACCCGAACCACATGTAAGCTATTTAATTCATGCTCTATCCTTCGAAGTTTTAAAGAAAAAATATGTTTTAGTAGAATTGTGTGACAATTTGTTGTGTTAAGGAATATACAGAAAAAATTACATGGTGGTTTGTTTTTCAATGATATTTATCTTTCTAATGATATCTAAGACAAAATACTGAGATGCTAATTTTCAAGCAAGCAGTTCACAAATAATTCGTTTCGTTTTTTTTGCGACATTAGCACATGAAGCATAAACTCGGACTCAGAATTGAAAAATAGGGTTTTTTGGTGAATCTTTTGGTCTGTTCTTAGCAATCATTTCCTGCATACTTGGAATAGAAGTTAAAATCCAAACACCTTCGGGTTTTAATGTATTTTCTGGACCTGTAATGCTTATGAATTAATACTTGTGTTATTCGGTTCATTGTATAAGTATGTCATTTTGGCCGCAATGAAACAAAAATGTATAAATAATCAAAATTTCTCCAAGCACCTGACTTTGGCAATAAATTAATCGAAATCACTAGTATTGACATAAGTTAATTGATTTTTATTTGAATAATTACGAATAGCAACAAAAACGAAACACGCTTGAGGTAATTACTACATTCAGACTGTGACAAGGACGCTCAACGTCTAACAGGATCGTTACTATCTTCATACTACTTCATGTCGCTAAGTTCATTGTCGCGAAAATGTTAATAAAACTAGGCAATTTTTAAATAAGATTACTGTGTCATTTTGTCCATTTATACCGTTATGTCTGTATTTCCCCTACCAATTAAGCATATGAATACAATAATGTATTTTTCCTGTACGAAAATCATAAATATAATTTTTTAAGATTTTTAAACTGCGGGTTTTATATAAAATCAGGACGTTTTTATCAATATATTCTGTTGTAATGGCTTAGAGTAATTTCTGTATTAAAAATAACACTGCATCTAAAAATAGTGGAAATTTGCAATTCTTTCCGATAGACTTGCTTCGTAATATATTACGATTGTTCGCATGTTCCGCATTTCTTCCGGAGAGTAATTTATGATCTCGTAGAATACAGATTGGATCCACTCGGTCTACTCGATGGAATTCTGACAACACACCTTTAATTAATTTCGTAGCACAATTTTACTTCAATATCGATAGAAAGAGGAAGAAAAATACATGTGTTGTTTTGGAATATTATTAATTATTAGTAACCGTAAATCATTCTTAGATTTTCGTGATAGCAATACATTGGAGAAAAGTTATTAATTATTTTTGTATATTTAATATATCATTTTTATATCATATGAGATTAACTACAATAATGTTAGTGAAAGAAAGAAAATAAGTAATATGGTATACCAATAATATAAAAATGTACCTACACATTTACTAGAACTTATAAATATATATATATATATATATATATATATATATATATATATATATTTTGTATGATTCTGAATTTGATGTTGACATATGTATTAACAAAGTCTAATAATCGGGCATAACATCAATAAAAAACATGAATTTCTTTCAAAAATTTATTTTAAATCCATACGTTTCGGCTATAATCCTAGCCTTCATTCAGTGGAAACTAAAAATAAAATTAAAAACTAAAACAATTGAATTGGAGTGAAAAGAAAAAAATAAAATAGTAATTAGTACTTACAATTAGTTGATCTTAGTGTTAGATTGGAAAATTTAATAATCCATGGTATTAGGATATGGTAATGCACTACACTATGTATTATAAACATTAACTTGAAATTACACAATATTTTCACAAAATACTGATTTGAAAAAATCACAAATGAATAGTGTGTTATTCGTAGTCTACGAATAACACACTATTCATTTGTGATTTTTTCAAATCAGTATTTTGTGAAAATATTGTGTAATTTCAAGTTAATGTTTATAATACATAGTGTAGTGCATTACCATATCCTAATACCATGGATTATTAAATTTTCCAATCTAACACTAAGATCAACTAATTGTAAGTACTAATTACTATTTTATTTTTTTCTTTTCACTCCAATTCAATTGTTTTAGTTTTTAATTTTATTTTTAGTTTCCACTGAATGAAGGCTAGGATTATAGCCGAAACGTATGGATTTAAAATAAATTTTTGAAAGAAATTCATGTTTTTTATTGATGTTATGCCCGATTATTAGACTTTGTTAATATATATATATATATATATATATATATATATATATATATATATATATATATATGATAAAGTTGTTCTTGGGCATCTATTCAGTAGGTAATTAAAAACGGTTTTATTGAAGGAAAATATTTTTATTATGAAAACATACGTTTCGAATCCTGATTTGACCCATTTTCAGCGCTACAATTAAAAATTTTATGGTTACAATTTAAAACAATATAAAAAATACGCAATTACAGAAAAATATAATCAAAAACATGTAAAAAAGCGTAAATCTAATCAATTTAATAAATTTGTTTTATAACAAATATATTGTAAAAGTATATAAACATGAAAATACAAACATAGACATAAACGAATGTAAAGAATTTACCATGCAAATAAATTGAAAAAAAAAACACAAAAACACACGAAAATTGCACAAAAAAAATAT